AAAAAAAAAAAAAAGACCATGACAGATAATTGTAATAGCTTGTACTTCTCTTATGTCCCCAAACCAGATGTTTCCCTTCTGTATACAGAAGTCTCCCTCAATGAAGGATCAGAAGAAATGGAAGATACACCAAAAGAATGTGAAAATATTCCCGCTTTGGTGGCATTTGAAAATCTCAGGGCAAATGTGACTGACACAATGTTAATCTTGTTGGTGGAGAACATAAGTGGCCTGCCCAATGATGACTTTGATGTGGAAGTAATACCAGATTTTGATGTCGCCGTAGTTACCTTTAAAAAACATATAGGTAAGATCAGGTGACACTTCATGTGTCAGTCTTGTTTGCACCACACCTTGGGACTTGGGATACTTCATTAATGGAACATCTCTGTAAGTTGGACCTTTTCTAGTAGCTACTAAGAGTGACTCCTAGTTAATAAAGATCCTTTTTAACTTTGAAAGAGAAGCAAATTCGTTTTCAAACCAAGTTCTGATGTTTTTAAGAGAATGAGTTTTGCCTGAGTACTTTGTGTGTATCAGAGAGAAAAAGAGAGAGATGGAGAGAAAGTGAGGGTAAGGGAGAGAGAGAAAGTAAGGGATTCCAGGTAAAGGAGTCAGTATTTCCCCACGTGTTATTTCATGGGGAGAAGTAAATATTGATCTTTGTCACCAAAATGGACTTACTGGAAGGTAATAATAATACAACACATTCACACAGTGCTTATTATAAGTTAGGTACTATGTTAAGGTCTTTACATGTATTAATTAATTGGTTCCTTCAACGACCTTATGGGATTACCATTATTTACTTCTGTCCTACATGTTACAATTGGGGAGACAGGCACAAGGGTGCTAAGACATGGATGCGCTGGATTTGAACCCAGGCAGCCCACCTCTACAGCCTGCTCTCTTACTCACTTCACCATGTATTTCCTTAGTACTTTTGTGGTCATTCCCATATGCAGGAAGGAGTGAGTGTGTCTGGTCAGAAAATGAGTTCTCTTTAAGGTCATTGTCAGGAGTCTGTGGGCAGTCTCTGAGATTATGAAGTGTCACGTCCACTTAAAACAAGGACATTTTCTATTATTGGTACAAAGAGGAGTAAGTCAGGGCTCCGGCTCTTGAAGGACTCGCAGTTTCAGGTCAGGGAGGACGCCCATATGCAAAGGGACAGGGAAGGTGCAAGAGGAGAGGCCACCTCTCAGCAGGAACAACACGCTGTGGGGAACCGGAGCAAAGGGGACCCAGACAGGTGGCTTATTCTTGCTCTTATGAAGTTAATACTGGAACAGTATCCATCAGTTATGTCCCAAATATGGTCCCTCTTCCTGACATGTGCCTTTCTGTCATTCACTTGGTAAACGTCTCTTCATCCTTCAAAACTAGCCAGAGAGTTATCAAGATACAGTCATAATTTACTGATAACCTTGTTCTTGTCGTTTGTAGATATTGTTAAATTTGTTGAGGAATGTGCCCAGCACCACTTAACTAAACAACTCCAGCTTTCTCCAAGACTTCTGGAAGTGACAAAAACAATCTGTGTTGAAAACCTGCCTCCTGGTGCTGATGAATACAGTTTACAACTTTTCTTTGAAAATCCTTTCCATGGAGGGGGAAGAGTTGCCAGTGTTAAATGTTTTCCCAAGGAGAGTTCAGCTCTGATAGAATTTTTTGACAGTAAAGGTAATTATTCACCTGCTGGCATAATCTAGACTATTTGCAATAGCACTTAACAGTCATCAATTTAATTCTGATGCATTTTATTTGTTCATGTATTTCTTTGGAAACTATTGATTTGCTTAAAGAGGTTAGTGATTCAACTTTAGAGAAGCAACATCAAATTTATAAAAGATGTGAGAGGATTCTTTTACGAGTCTCCACCTATCATCTTGGAATCTTTGAAATACTGTATTTTAAAGAAATGATCTTTGTTTTTGCCACAAACTTAATGAAAACTTTCCCATTAATTTCTATCAAGTTTAAGAAATACTCAGCAACATATCCAGTTCCTACAAAAATGTCACTTTCACCTATTACTGTCA